AAAAAGAAAAAAAAAAAGAAAAAGAAACAGAAGAAACAGGGGAAAATAGTAGAATTAACCATAATTAAACTTGACCTGCTGAGTGTGCGGTCTTCAGATACAAAATAATAAAAATCCTGCTGACTCCTTGAACAGTAGCATAAGTTTCACATAATCTTTGAGTCTTGTGAGATTTTAGTTTTAGAATCTCATATTCGTGAGATTAACGTAATCTTTTACGGAGGGGCTCTTGCAGATTTTAATCTGGCCTACACAGGCACAGCATCGAGGTGGGCACAGTTCTTGAAAAATCGCTCGCTTTGCGAAGATCTCTTATTTTGTTATCGTTTTTCTTTTTCGCCCCTTTTTCTTCTCTCTATCGCATCCAGTTTCTGTCATCAAAACTATGGGCTCGTTTCTAATTCTGCGCACTATGCCACTTTTATATTTTATTTTTGTGTGGGTCTCTTTTATGTCGGTAGCAGATTGCGAAACTAATTTGCTGCCTCTCTAAGTCGAGATTCATAAATTTGTTTGGTTGCTGTAGTTGGCATGTAAGATAAGCCCTTTTCATATTTTGGATCCATTTTTCTCATATTATTGGATTGTGTAAACCGTAGATGAAAGTTACTTCCATTTGCAAATTTTGCATTTTCTTGATTTATCCTTGTTGACTCTTTATTTTGTTCCTGAATCTTCATTACAAGTAAGCTTGCAACGAGTTTTCTTATTTTCATGAGCTATAGTTGATGCCACTTGTATTTTGTAACTGTAGTTAAGTATTGATTAGTTGTTACTACAGCATGTAGCTACTAATTCAAGAAGCAAGAGGATAATCATAGTTAGAAATGATTGGCAGTTATCTTGATTCTGGTATCACATCGCACATTTGGACCAAGTTGGGCATCCTTTTCTTTTGATTCTTCATAATTTATAGTTCAGAGAGTTTGGCTATTAAGTAATGAGCAGATAATTTAGCTGGTTTGGTTTCTTTAATTTAGGGAGTTGTAACCTACAGATAAATTTTCTGTGATTGAGTTCTAACACTGGCAGTCTGGTTATATAGTCACCTGTATTTGAGATATTTAACTGGTTATGTAGTCACCTATAAATATTGAACTGATTAACTGGGCTTCACACTTCTGCAGACATGAGAGTTTAAATTATGGTATATGTAGCATGAGTTGTCTTCTCTATGTGTTTACCCCAACAGAACTTTCATTTTCATGGATATTCTGCTTAAAGTTTTAGTTTAGTTCAAGTTTATTTATTTATTTTTCGTAACCTTCTGTTCTGTATACTTCATATCTTTTAATTTATTTTTCTTAACCATCAGCTCCTTGGTGTCAGTTTGATATGGGTGTATACCTCAGTACTCCTAAAACAGATAAAACTTCTGAAGATGGCGAAAACAATAGGCTCAGATTTGGTCTTTCTTCCATGCAAGGTTGGCGTGCTACAATGGAAGATGCTGTAAGTAGTCAATCCAATTTTCTACGACTTAATACATTTACCATATGCACTTGTTTGCAAGAGTTTCCATATAGCTTAAATAGACAAGTTTGACTTAAGTCACTGTGGGTATAAGCTGTACGAGCTGTCCTTCACTACAATCCTGTTGTTCAGGTTTATGTCCGTCAAGAAAATGTAAGTGTGCACATATGATCTGAGTAGGAAAATCACTTTGTGGTTTCCATTCTCTATCTGGGTTATGTCCCATAGAAGTTCTGCTATTACGTAATTGATTTATAAACTTAATATTTTTATTGAAATAATTGACATGGTTTATGAAGTAGCAGAATCACTTGATACAAGGGTTCATTTTGATCTTTTATCCAAAAGGATACTGCTTACATGTTTCTGTATAAAAACTTGGATTTATTTGGGAATTGAGTATGATTTCCGTTCTAGGATTGAATGGTGTTTTTATATTTCAGATGGTAGAGTTGACATAATTTGATAAATTTGTGTTGAAGCCTTTTTGAGATATCTTGTATGTAAGTGCTCCACCAAACATTGTTACAAGATCACATGAGCTATGGATCATAGTCATGGCACTCACACTGGATTGTGTTTGGCTGGTTATCGTTGTTTCTAACACGTATTTGCGTAATTAGCAGTAGTTAAAATTACTTAATGATCATTTAGTTATGCCATGCTTATAGGTGTGCTTTTTACTGTCTTTGAAGTTTGCATTAATTGTTATATTATTTTTCTTTCAGCATGCAGCGATACCCGATCTGGATACTTCCACATCATTCTTTGGTGTTTATGATGGTCATGGTGGTATGTTATGTAATTTAGTTCTGGTATTATACAATTCCATATAAGCTTTCCCTTTTAAACAAGAATCTTCAGCAAACTCCTACTTGATGATTCTTTCGGCTGAGATAAAAAATAATAAAAAAAAAAATCTACTTGATGATGCCTTACGGGTTTCACTACACAGCTCATGTAGTCCGTCCCGTGCTTGATATTGATAACTTCAGATATTAATCATTTAAAAATCCCGTTTAAGGCATTGCTCTGATATTGCAGGAAAGGTGGTTGCCAAATTTTGTGCTAAGTATCTTCATCAGCAAGTGCTCAAACATGAAGCATACATGACTGGTGATATAGGGACTTCCCTTCAGAAAGCTTTTTTCAGGTCAATATTGAATCTCTTATTGTCTGAATAACTTCTTCCTGGTTTCTTTCATAAAGTTAGTTACGCTTGTCGGATAAAAAAAATCTCGCTTGTGAAATTGTACAAATTGGTGCAACTGTCACCTTCAACATTTGTCCGCATGTTGATTTTGAACTCTGATTTGTGAAGGTTTCTCTAGATGTTGGTAGTACTTATAAGCTAAATCTGAAGATTGTAGAGAATAGTTCAAATTTGTCAAAGCTACGCACAACCTAAAGAACATATATTAAATACCATACCTTCTGAGATCACCAAGGGTTTTTAGTAAGCACTTGGAGAATGCAACAACAAGATAATAATTTGAAAGTGTTTCTTTTGGAACTAAGGCCACAAGCAAGAGTAAGCATAAGCTCATGTCCTGGTTATATTTACGTATGCCTCCATGGGCAGACATTAGTTACTCAAATATTTTATATGTCAAAGAAATTGCTGAATATGAAATTTAAATCTGTTACTATTGCCCTTGGTGCAGGATGGATGAGATGATGCGTGGGCAGAGAGGCTGGAGGGAATTGGCTGTTCTTGGTGATAAAATAAACAAGTTTACTGGCATGATCGAAGGTCTCATATGGTCCCCTAGAGGAGGGGACAAAAATGAACAAGTTGATGATTGGGCACCTGAGGAGGTGTTTATATGAGTTTAAACCTAAAGTTTCATTCTTTTTTGTAATAACAATATTGATACGTTAATTCATGTTCACTTACCTTTGCCTCTGAATTCTGGAGATGAATTTAGTTTTTCTTACTTTCCTATTTCCGAAGTATAAGAGCATATGCGATAGCAATTATGAATCATTTGACAGTGTTTAGAAGTTTAAGGATACCATGACTAGACTCCGAGTATATTCTCTGAGATTTCGGGAAATTCCGGAAAGTTAAAACAATAATTAGTTTATTCAATGACTTAATGAGTTAAATTATGAAAGGGAAAATGTGAATTCCTTATATTTTTAAGGAAATATGAAAATGCACCCTTCACTGATTATTATGTTCATTTGTTGCTTCCTTGTAATATTTTTTAGCTGTTTATTCAGAAGAGAGAATTGTGATTTTCATACCCTTTTCACAGTTTGACTTGCTAATTATCTGGTACAGGGACCGCATTCTGATTTTTCAGGACCAACTTCTGGTTGTACTGCTTGTGTTGCAGTTGTCAGGGAAAACCAATTAGTGGTTGCAAATGCTGGTGATTCTCGGTGTGTAATTTCTAGAAACGGCCAGGTAGTATAATGCATGTAGTCATATTTAGTTGTAATTTAACTGATTTTATTTTCATGCACGTAATGTGTGTTTTTTTTACTTTCAATGAATGTATTAATGTTTAACATGTATGTTGTGTGATTGTCTAGGCATACAATCTTTCAAGAGACCACAAACCGGACCTCGAGATTGAGAGAGACAGAATTTTGAAAGCTGGTGGTTTTATCCATGCCGGTCGTGTAAATGGCAGTTTGAATCTTGCAAGAGCTATAGGTGACTGCACATTTCGTTTATAAAGTTTAGGGCATGCTTGTTTATAAATTATTTCACTCACATTTAATTCATACTCAAATCTAACTCAACTTTAACTCAACTTCACTATCTTTAATATTATTCATATAATTAAATAATACAAACCAATCATTCTTACACATCACATCAACTTTAATTCACTATTCATCAACTCACATAATCTTAACTACCTATCATTTCCAATCATTTTCAATCATTTATCTTATACTTTTACATCAAATCAATTTTAATCATTTTATTTTAAATATTATTTTAATACATTCTTAAAATCTCTCTAACAACTAATCATACCACCTTTTTTAAAATTAACTCTAGTTAACCAAAATAACTCATTTTGGACGAACATTTTGTAAACAAGCGAGCCCTTATATTCTTGAGTTTGTTGAAAGTTTGCTAATGGTTTGATGCCCTCCCTACATTGTAAAGATGAATCATTTTATTTCTGAAAGCAAAGAGGAAAACCAAGATATGACATGGAATTGGTCTTTACAGGTGATATGGAATTCAAGCAGAACAAGTTTTTGCCCGTTGAAAAGCAAATTGTTACAGCTAATCCAGATATAAACATTGTACGTGCCTTACTTATTTTACCATTATGACAGAGGTTCATATTCATTCCGTGTAATAAACATTAGGTTTGTTCAAAATTTGGTCCAGGTTGAACTTTGCGATGATGATGAGTTCATCGTGCTTGCCTGTGATGGCATTTGGTATGCAATCCAAACTTCTTATTTTGTTATATAACTTCCCCATTTAAGTAACAGAATGCTCCTCCTTTTGATAATAATCTCATTGGGCTTCAAGAATGCTTTAATCTTGCAATGATTGTTCAATTGTTTCGCTCTAATTCTCTGTTTAATATAGCGAAGCAATGAGTTTGTCTGATCACTTATGAGTTTAATTACTGTGACCTCACAGCTACTTTCCTTGTCATGTTTTATACTTACTGTTAGATATAAATTTAATTTTTATTTTCACATTTGCTGTCGGTTTGAACTTGCATGTGGTTACTTTACCTAAGTATACATCTGAACTTCAAAATATAATGTCACATTCTTGTCTGAATTGCATCTCTTTCTAAGTTTCTCTTTCTGTCTTTCTTCATGCTTTATTTAGTTTTAGGTAAGTCTTGTTAAATAGTGTGAGTAATACTCTGGCCCTGCATATGCATAGAAAGCGTGAAAAATAATATAAGCTGTACACATAAAAAAAACATTCAAAAATCAAAAGTCTTTTAATGGTTAGTATTGCATTTATATTAGTTTGATCTTTGTACTTACTATTCTCAGACAAATTTTAAAACTGAGTTAAAAATGAATAACTATAGATATAGACTATGGACTATATAGGTTAACCACTGTTTAGAGAGCTTTTATCATATAAGTATAATGAATCCTATGATTTCGCCTGATATAATTTGACTTTTATACTTTTATATTGATTAATATCCTTTTAAATCATTTGCTTTTTAAATAGAATTGAAATGGACTAATAATACTTGTCTTTAATATATACAATAAGGTGTCAAACTGAAGATTATAGAGAGACAGTCAATCTAATAGATAACGCCTAAAAAAATGGATTGAAAACACAAAAGTTGTTGAAGTTTAAAACAGTGTTCTACTAAGTTCTTATTTCGTAAATGCAACTTGGCGGGAAAATTTGGACAATCTGTTCATAGACCACTTTCACTTTATATATAACTATAAATATGTGGATATAAAGAATTCATATGCCCTATCTCATGTAGTTGCTCTGTTATCACTTCTCAGGGATTGCATGTCCAGCCAGCAGTTAGTAGACTTCATACGTGAGCAGCTGAAATCTGTAAGTTTCTTTCTTCCCATTTTACTCTCGTCTTTCATTTCTCGGCACTTTGCCTCCATTAGATACATTGGAAGTGTTTGTAAAACAACATATAACATTTTTTCCTTTTAGAAAATGATTTTTTCAGGAGAAAATGATTTTTTTCAAAACTCTTGAACGCCGAGAATTGTTTTTTAGTTCTAGTATTTGCGAAATAAATCATTGAAATTTATCATTTATTTGTTTGGGTAGATCCCATATGATACATGGTGGGAATATTAGTTTGGTAAATTACCAAGAGTACCCCCTGAATTTAACCTAATTGATATAATAAATTACTTGTTTCTTACAAATTACCTCTAGAGTATGTACGCGATTATTAAAATAGAAATATGTGGTGGGGTATTTTGTTATTTCAAAAGATAATTGGAATTATTCCTATAAAATCCCCTTTAGGCACTTACTAAATTTGGTCGAGCAGGAAATGAAGCTTTCTGCCGTGTGTGAAAAAGTGCTCGATAGATGTCTAGCGCCTTCTACTGCAGGAGGGGAGGGCTGTGATAACATGACCATGATACTCGTCCAATTTAAGAAAATCACTCACACTCAGACAGCTTCATCTTCAAATGAAGTATCTTCATCAACTTCCGAGGAAGTTAGTGCAGACAAGTCAAAAACAGAAGAAAACGAATCACAATGACTTCTCTGTAAAATGTGAAAATATTCAATACTTGTTTGGAGCTGGAGGCTATTGCAGACAAAGGGCTTCTTCCTTTTGCCTTTTGTGTTCTTCGGTGTCTCGAGACCTTTTTCAATTTCGGTATGAGTTTTGTACAGATGCTTCAACACAGATTTGAACATCAATGATTGTGAATGTCAACTAACATGTAAAAATTGATGGATAAAATTGGACTGGGCTGGGGTACCCTGGCTTCTGGTGTTTTTTGCTGTTTATCTGTGGACCTAATCATTGTTTTAGAATAACTTTATTGTCTTTTCCATGGTATAGTACACGTTAGCTTGTCTTGGTAAGAATCTGGTTTTAGTTATGAGCTAGGTTTTAAGGCAGTATGACTCACTGGCAAGCTTTGTGTTGAACAAAAATGGGCTGGTATTGATCCTGTGTTTGGTTTTCAGAATGCACCATGTGTGAATATTGTACAGTAAGGCCGTTCTAGTAAGGTTAGGCTGTTCCCATAAGGCTATTGTCAGGTAGACCTAATAGTTAGACACTTATACGGACATACTTGTTCAATAGATATGCAACTGTCGAATTAAAATGTTAAAAAAAAGGAAATTGTACGACACTTTATAATATAAGTATCAATTTTCACTAAAAATGTGATGTGTAAACCTACTTAAAGTTTAGTTGTCTTATACAAGTATGAAGGATAACTAGTGGGTTTTGTGATGGAGACAAGATTGCGTTAGTCTTTTTGGACAAACATGATCGTATACCATCATTGGTTTGATTATTTATTTATTTTATTTATTTTTTTTGCTTTATTATTTATTAAGACATCCTAAATTTGTTAGGAAGTTTATTTATTTTATTAGAATCCTTTACTTGTTGAGCAAGAAATTTACTTAAAGTTAGGAGTTCTATTTAAAGACTCTTCTTTTGTTTTGAGAGATTTGAGGCTTTATTGAAATATAAATATATTGAGAGTTTTCTCTTGATTCTCCCAATCGTTTACGCTTTCGCTACTTTAGTTGGTACCAATAGACCGGTACTGTTCCTACATGATGTAGCCCAAACGGAACGATGTTGCGGATGATAGGCGAGAACGTGCTTTCGCTACGTTAAGTTGCTATCAACAGACCAGTACAATTCCTACACGATGTAGCCCAAACAGAACGATGTTGCGGACGACATGCGAGAACACTGCGATCGAGGCGTTGTGGCGCCAAGTCGCGGATCTGACCGCAGGGATCAAGGAGATCAGACTGGCTCAACAAGTCGCTTCTCACCGCGGTCATATGAACCCGCACTGGATGGTGTACGTGGTGGTCGAGGCGGAGGGGTGTGGGGTTTGCGGTGAATGCGGTCGGGGTACTCACAGGGCGCCCCACTCCCCATCTGTCATTCTTTAGTAATGATGATCTGGGAAAATGTGTATGGCTATGTTCAGGCCAAGGAAATAGCTTCAAAATGCTCACCACGGAATTGGAATCTTCCGCACAAAAGGTAGACAATGTCTTCGAGGTAAATCCTTTCGGTCATATGGCGGCAGCGGCACAGGACAGGGACTACTTCGCTGACGATTAGCGATGGGAGTCGTCTTTTCGGATCGACATCCCCAAATTTGAAGGGAGCCTTGAGAATGAGCGGGGATCGACCGATATGAGAGTCCACCTCTTTTTTATGTCGAGGTTCGACTAGATATGAGAGTCCGCCTCTTTTTGATGACGAAGGGTCGACCGCATATGAGGGTCCGCCTTCTTTTTTTTTTTTTATGACGAGGGATTGCCCGAATATGAGGATCCACCTCTTTTTGATGAAGAGGGGCCGCAAGAATATGAGGGTTCGGCACTTTTTGAAGACGAGGTTATCGACACTATGAAGACGCTGCTACAATGGAGAAGTTTTAGCCCATTGGGAAAAAAACAAGTGCTTGCCTGTGTTGGGAATATCTGAGATTTGCCTTGATACGTACGATTTTGTGGACATTTGTCATTCTTGACATCAAGTTCAAAGCAAGGTTGTGGAAGAAGAAGAGGTTGCTAATGCTTTGTACAAGCGGCATGTGGGTGTGCGTCGTCGTCATGTCGAATTTGCAGTAGTCAATTATGTGTGGGCCGTTATAAAGACATAGATTTTCTATCGTGAGTATACCAAGTTATAGGCCTGTAAAATTAGTCCGGTCAAGATTGTGGAGACGAGATTACGCTGGATTCGAGGGCGAATCCTAGTTAGGAGGAGGAGAATGATGAAGACGAGATTGCATTTACCTTTTTGGACAAGCATGATCGTTTAGCATCATTAATTTATTTGGGGTTAAGAGTTATATCTAAAGTCTCCTTTTCTATTGTTTGTGAAATAGTTGAGTTTTGATTGAAATAAAAATATATTTAGATTTTTCTCTTAATTCTTCCAATGGTTTACGCTTTCGCTACCTCAATTTTATTATATTGTTACTACTATAACATATATTGTTGATGTAATTCTATTAGACATGGTTTAATTATTATATAATGAGTGGATGTTGATGACTTGAAACATAAGTGTAGGAAACTGTATTTTCTGAAAAGTTTTCCAAGCAATTGTATTTGCATTAGAAATTCTGCAAAAATTTGGACAAGCAAGTTGATAACTTGGGCAAGATTGATCGTTTAATGTAGCAAAGTACATTTAAAAGAAATCTGAAAGGCAGTCAATTTCTCTCTGACATCTTCTAAATAGAATACATTGTAATACAACTTAAAGAAAGTGCAAAACAAATAACAAAGTTGAAAAGTTACAAAATGAAAAGTTATAGAATTCGATCTGTTTAATCGTTACCCCTTCTCACAACAACCTTCGCAATGCATATAAAATGGTTTATCAGTTCCCATTTTGTTATTCTTTAGCAGGACAAATATTCCAGTGCTTGACAAATACTTAAGCACACAAAAAGTGGTTAAATAAAAACAATCACCCAGGAAAAACAAGAACTTGAAAAAATAAAGCTGTAAACACTTTGGCAAAACACAAGAATTCCATAATATGAAGCTGGAAACAATAAACCGACACAAACTGTACACTTATGTATGTCTGCAGTTTCCACAAGCTTAAATTTTGTTTAACTTATCCAACATGAATCCTAAACATTTGCACTGAGCGCGAATTGCAACTATCAATACTAACAACAATGACTCTATTTATATGTAAATTTCTCATGAGTGCAATGTCACTGAGTTAGACCTTAAACCGACTTTATCAGGCCAAACCGTTTTTCGCTTGCCAGTGCCTCTATCGGCATATAAGGGGTTCTTTGGTCTTTTAGCGAACTCCACACTGTCCTTATGCACTCGCACAGTTTCTTCTGCCTCTTTATTTTTCTGTAATACATTACAAGAAGAAGACTGAAAACACCCATCAACGGAGAAAAAAAAAAAGAATGATAATCAGTAGTTTTATTATCTTTAAACTAGTTTATATTACCTCATTTGAATGGCTTTCTAGTGCAATTTCAAACGAATGGTGATTTCTTTCTCCATGTAAGGCATTGCTTTGTGTATCTGATTCAGGAACATGGATGTTTGAAAAATTCTTAAGCCTCTGCCTCAAAAATCTGAGGAATCAATAAGTTAGCATCTCAAAATTTGAGATTATTTTTAGGAAAACAATTCAGATATTCCCTGAGAAAAATAATAATAATACCTAACTTCAGCTAAAATTGTTGATCTCTTTTGCTTGGCAGACAGCAATTTTCTCTTCTTTGCAACAATTTCCTAAGACAACAGATCAAATGCCAAATTAACTAAGCACTGTAAGTGATACCTAAATGAAGAAAAAATCACATCTTTATAACTTTTAGTAAATTAAATCACTTTCATCATCTCCAAAAGAAATTGAGTATGAATAATTTCTAACAAAACAAAAATGTCAGCCAAACAGAAGAGAACCAGAAAATCGAACCTTTTGCAGTTCCAAGTGTTCTTTCAAAATACTTTGATATTTGAGTTTGTCTTTTGATTCATCATCACCAACAATCTGAGATTGACCAAAGCCAACTGAAGCCCTCTTCGCCTTCTGGTTCAATCTATCCATGGTACCATACATAATTCAAAAACTCCCAAGAAAGCAAAAGCCCAGATGACAAAAATCCAATCCGTAAGTGGAAGAAAAAACCTGCGCAGACATACAGGTGATAAAGAGACAAGAGGGTTTTGCCACACTCCTTTTTTCGATTCTTGAAGGTTTAAATACATGGAATCACATGAAGTAAGAAACTCCGATAAGGAAGAAAAGGGAATTTTTGGCAAGTATGATGTAAAAGCCTATGGTTTCTGATTGGACACGAGAAGATGAATTTTTCTGTCTCCTCCCTATTTATGTCTTTTTCTTTTTCTTCTTACGTTTATTTTGTTCTTAATAAAATAAAAAGCTTCCATCTTTATTTTTATTTGGTTTGGGATACTGCTCCAACATAGGTTTTGGTCCAGATGGGCCATTAACAATGTTGAGAAGAGATATTGGAATGTGTATTTGTGTGTGTGAAATTTTAGGAGGATACGGATTTGTGATATATTATTGTGGGGAAGTGATTGCGAATGGCAGAAATGGGCAGCAGATAAAAGGTTACTGGCTTACAGGGGCGGAGAACGCTGAGCCTGAGCCTTGCCCGCTGCCCGCGGGCAGTATAGTTTATATATTTTGTTTAAAAAATAACTAGTGAGAATCCCGTGCGATGCACGGGTTTCTATACTTTAGAACTTTTTTTTAACTTTATTTTCACAATATATTAGCATGCTGACTTGTTTATATTATTATAAATAATATTGTAACATATATATTTATTTTTTAATACATAATAATAATAATTTTACATATTTTGGTTCATCATAATACTCAATTATTAATCTATCGAAAAATCTATTATCATATAATGTCATTATTATTTACAACACTTGTAGAAGTAATATATTTGTTATATAATGACAAATATGTAATGTATATTAATATTATTTATTGATGTAATTAATTTAAAAAGATATAAGCCAATTTAATGTTTGATAGGAATGTGATTATATGTAAGTTGAGATACAATGGAATGTATCAAAAAAATCTGCTTATGATATTTTCCTTTAAATGTTTGAATGAACTTGAAATTTAAATTACAAATCAACCTTCAGTTATTTAAATAATTTTAGAAAAGTTACCAATTATAATAAAATGTACGTGACAATATATTATAAATATACATGACGTTAGTAATGTTATGAATCTTTAGGTTCCTAAAATATATGTTGTTTAGATATGAAACTAATTAACTTATATGTCAAGATAATATATATAAACTAGTACAGTACCCGTGCAATGCACGGGATGGTATATTTTCCTGAAATGTTTAACGTGTGAAATATTAAAAATAAAATAATTTATATATATGTAATAAAAATAAATGGATTGCAAAGAAGGAAAAAAAATATAAATTATTGAACACTTTCTTTGTGAAGTAAAATTTGTGAAGGTTTGGTATATTTGATTATGAATAGAAAAGTATGAAATACTACCTGCAGACCGTTGAGATAGATGAGAAGATTTACTTAGAATATATAGAATAAATATTGAGATAATGATTTACCTTTTACCTAGTATAGATAAAATAAATATTGACATGATGTGGGAAAATTATGACGAATTATGACATAAATTCGTTTAGAAAATATTCAAAAATTAGATTTATTTTTTATTTTTTAAATCTTTACAGTAATTCGTACGTTCCTTTTCATACGCTTAATTTATCAATTTTACACATACAAATCAAAATTAATGCAACTCGAAATATTATATAACAAATAAAATGAGATTTTTATCTAACATTTAGTATATTGCCGGAAAATTTTTTATAAATCTTATTCTCTTTTTATGCACATAGATATTAAAGAATGAGTAAAAAAAATATCTAAATATGTTTAAAAGTATCTAATATTATATGTGTTAACAGTGTTACAACCAAAAGACATTAAGAATACGCAGACTATTATATAACATATGTGAAAGTATTAAAATATTTTATATTATTATTGAAAAATGTGAAATTACCTCAATTTTGTCTAGACTATTTTATAAGAAAAATATATATACTTAAAGTTAGCACACACATATATATATATCCTTAAAATTTGCCCAACTAACATGTTTAAAAGTATATAAAATTTTATATATAAAATACGTTTAAAGTTTACATATTTTACAAAAATTAGACTGCTCTCAGTTTATATAAAGTTTGTTGCTCTCATATTCGGATAATGTATTATGCATTTAATGAAAGCACCTACGATACAAAGTTATAAATATTAATTAAAATAATTTTCTAAATTATATAAAATTGAAATAACAAAGGTAAATATTACCTGTTCATCATGAAAATGCGTTACAACTCTCCTGTTCGTGATGGTTTCAATAATGCTTTGTTATAAATATTAATTAAAATAATTTTCTAAATTATATAAAATTGAAATAACAAAGGTAAATATTACCTGTTCATCATGAAAATGCGTTACAACTCTCCTGTTCGTGATGGTTTCAAAAATGGGGACTGCTCTCTCCCGTTCGTGATGGTTTCAATAATGCGGACTGCTCTCAGACGCAAAAAAGGTTTGTTATAAATATTAATTAAAATAATTTCTAAATTATATAAAATTGAAATAAAAAAAGGTAAATATTACCTGTTCATCATGAAAATGCGTTATAGCTCTCCGTTCGTGATGGGTTTCAATAATGCGGACTGCTCTCAGACGCAAAAAAAGGTTTGCTTCTTTTGTTAACGTACCCAGTCTGGAAGCATTATATATCAAGTTTACCCCAGCCTGGAAGCATTATATTGTATATGTGATTCAAAATTATTCTCTGTATTTTTTTTTCTCTGAACTCGTGAATGATGAGTTGTAATGGTGGTAGTGAATATCCTTTTTATACAATTTTTTATTAACAAAAGTGATAAGATAATTATGGATTGTATTTGGATAGATTTTAAATACCATGATTTTTGGGATGCAACAACAAAATATGCAATCACATGTATATATCTTATCATGTTAAAGGTATATCCATCCCTAAAAAACAGGAAAAAAAAAAACATATATTTTGAAAGGATTTTTAAATTAGTTTCTACAAATGGAAAGTCAATGGGGTTGTTGACCAATTTTTTAAAAGTTTCCACAAATGATTTATTGACCTCTCCTTTTCAATATATATAGATATATGTATTGTACGAAATATACACTTGACAAATTATTATATTTGTTTATATATTGTTTGTATGTTTGTTTGGATTGTTTATTATATTTGTATATAAATATATTGTTTATATATTTGTCTGTATTGTACGAAAAATTGTTATATTTGTTTATATATTGTTTAGATTTGAAACTAATTAACTTATATGTTAAGATAACATATAAAAATATGTATTGTATGTAATCTTAAACGTGTTTGCTAAATTTTTTCTCGAAAAAATTCAAAATACATATAGGCATGTTTTGTTTGAAGTTTAAAATTAAATATGCATCTATATAACAAATCCCACGATTTATGCTAGCATTAAATGCTACTTGTTTTTTTTATTAAAAATAAAAAAAAATACCAAAAATAGAATGCAATTAATATTTCCTATTTTTTTCTTACTATTTTTGAAAAATGTTAATTCTTATTATATATATATAGATGAATATGACAATATTTCTTATATTTATATTTTTTCTTTTTCTCTTAAAAAGAATATTTCTTATATTTCTTATATTTATTTAAGTCAACTAGTATGTATCACAAATAAATATTATTACAATAAAACTTATAAATTATATGTGTAAATTACACAAAATTAAAAGTTAGATTACACTATTTATTAGATGGCCTAATTGCTTCAAAAATTTTGACCTTTTACTAAATTGCAAATAAATATCAACATTTTTAAGTATGCCGTTAATTCCCAACCTTTTAATTTTGTTACATATGAAGTTCCAATTGGTTTTTCAACCACCACCTTGCTAATGTGTCCGGCGAAGTGATGATATGTCCACTTCATAATTTCTTGTCTTTTTTCCACATTCCCCAATTCCCAATTTCTTTTGTCTCTACAACCCTAAATTGAGATTTTTCATCCCCAATTTTGAAGAGATGGAAAAATTGAGAACCAGTATCAAGAGAAGAAGCATATAAGAGGTGGACCTCCGAAGTATTTGTTTTGTCATCAATGGAGAACAAGAATTGCACTTGAGCCAAAAATTAGGGTTTCGTGATTTAGGCATTCTTTATTAAAGATTTTGGAAATTGGTTAATTTTTTGACATTAGGCTTTTCATATTATAAATTAGCTTGTAACTGAAACATTTTGAATAATTGTATGCATCTTTAATTGTATTCATATTTGAAACTTGCATACAGGGTATTGTGCTTGAACATATGTGCAATTACTTTATACTACGTACTTTCATAGAATGTGATGGATTTCAAAATTAATTTAACATTTCGGGAGAAGTACATGTAACTAAGATTTTGAAAAGTCAACTTTTATTTGAAGATTGAAATTCACTCCCAGCCCGTGGGGTGATGCCTCCATGGAGTATGTACCAATTTGTCTATATGGAGAGAGAGAGAGAGAGAGAGAGAGAGAGAGAGAGTAATGAAGTAGTTTATACGATGATAAAAAAATATCAACAATTTTAATGACATCGTTATTTATTTCACATAGATATTCATGATTTGTTAGTAGAAATACCTTATAAAGATCATACATTTTTAAAGTTTGACTATATGTGTGGCCAAAATATTTCAAAGTGTTTGAATAAAGTAGACGTTTTGCCAAATGAATTAAAAAAAAAAATTATGCAATACTATAAATGTATTGAACTCCAATAGGTATGAATGTTTTCTATGAAAACGTCAAAACCAAAATAAAAGGAAATCACTCTTGAATAATCCAACATAATAAATAAATAAAAGATCTAATGCATCTATATTATACATTAGCTCCTTATTTAGTTATTTAATGGTTTTTTTTTTTCATTAGGAACTCATTTTTCAAATATTTTTGTTGGGTATTCCATTCTTATTATATTAAGACATCATTATGTTATTTTTGAAAAAAAAAATATATTAGAGAGCTCGTTTGTTCTAAGTTTTATTTCGTTCCTGCAATGATATATTTAATAAAATAATTTACTTATTTTGCTGAACTTAATCGACAAGAAATATTCACCAACACGTGCATCACATGTGCACTTTTCTAGTATCGAAAATGTATGGCTTGAAGATCAAATTTTTCTTCAACATTTTTGTTGTTCATATCCAGTTGAGAAGTAAGTGAACAATGTATCTAGAATTCAGAGAGCATTTGGATGAGGTAATACGACTATCATTTCAGGTACATGCGTTTAGGGAATGTAAAAGATATACTATACTTTACAATAAGAATCTTTACATAGAAATACAGTTTGAAGGACCAAAATCACCTCTACATTCTGGATCATTGCCAACAAAATTACCTCATTACACTATTTACAAAGAAAACATTTTGATCAGTAGCCACCAGGAGATGT